ATTTTTTATATATATATATATATATATATATATATATATATATATATATATATATATATATATATATATATATATAGTCGTAACTAAGTTTATAACAACTTGCCACCTCCAGCCCTTATGCAAGTTTTCATCCGCGCTGGCATGCTTCTTATTAAATTATCCACGTTATCTTGGGGTATGTTTTCCCATTCTGCTAATGCTGCATTAATAAGCTGTGCGAGATTTCCTGGATTGTTTCGACGAACTCTAACCCTTCTTTTGAGCTAGTCACACAAGTGTTCGAGTGTTTAGATCTGGTAAAATAGACAGGCCAGTCCAAAACTATGACACCTTCCGTTTCAAGACATTCTCTAGTCACTCTGCTGGTATGGAGAGGTGCACCATCGTGCATGAAGTTAAAATTATCTCCCTTGCAGCTCTCCAAAAGACTAACGATTGGTTCTAGCACCAAATCAACATATTTCCGACCCGTTAAAATTTGTTGAAGTTGTAACAATGGAGTTTTGCTCCCAGTATAATACCTCCTTACTCCTCCGAACACTACAGTTCCTCCTTTATATCTTGGTACATATGTGGCAGCCTGAAGTCTCGCTCGTCTTCCTAGAGCTCTGAGAACCCGAATTCGATGGTTATCTGATCTTAGGCCAATTCTGGTCTCATGCGAAAAAAGAACATTTTGCCAATTCTCAGTTGTCCAGTTTTGATGTTGAAGGCATCAATTTAGCCGGTCAATTTTATTTTGCAGAGAAATATATATATATATATATATATTTGAATGTGGTAGACAATGATTCAGTATAAAAGTTAAAAGAATTGCGCACTTTGAATGTCTTTATTTACACACAACCAAACTTATATGGTATCTTCTATTATTTCTCATAATTTTTCAGATGTACGAAAATGTTGTGTTTATGAATAAAACTCAGTCCTTACTAATGACTTTTAATAAAAAATAATCCATATAGCAATAAAAAAAATCATCAGTTCCCAAAATAAACAAAATGGTATTTTTTTGGTTTCTGAAACGAAATTAAGATTTAAATTTTTAATGGACAAAAAGTAGAAACAAAAAGAAAATTGATAATTTTAATATTCCTTGATGCCACCTCTAGCCCTTTAGCCCTTATGCAAGCTTCTATCCGCGCTGGCATGCTCCTTATTAAATTATCAACGTTGTCTTGTGGTATGTTTTCCCATTCAGCTAATGCTGCATCAATAAGCTGTGCAAGATTTCCTGGATTGTTTCGACGAGCTCTAACCCTTCTTTTGAGCTAGTTCCACAAGTGTTCGATTGGGTTTAGATCTGGTGAACAGGCAGGCCAGTCCAAAACTATGACATCTTCCGTTAAAAGACATTCTCTAGTCACTGTGCTGGTAGGGGGAGGTGCACCATCGTACAAGAAGTTAAAATTCTCCCCAATTGCAGCTCTCCAAAGACTAACGATTAGTTCTAGCACCAAATCAACATATCTCCGACCCGTTAAAGTTTATTGAAGTGATAACAATGGAGTTTTTGCTCTCAGTAAAATAACTCCCCAGAACATTACAGTTCCTCCTTTATATCTTGGTACAGATTTGACAGGCTGAAGTCTCGCTCGTCTTCCTGGAGCTCTGAGAACCCGAATTCGATGGTTATCTGATCTTAGGCCAATTCTGTTTACATCCGAAAAATGAACATTTTGCCAATTCTCAGTTGGCCAGTTTTGATAATGAAGGCATTAATTTAGCCGGTCAATTTTATTTTGCCCAGATAACTGTGGGATCCGTAACTCTCTCCTACTGTAAAACCCTCGAGCACAAAGCCTTTTTCTTATGGTTTCAACTAAAACGTTCACACTTGTAGCTGCTACAAGTTGTCTTTGTAGCTCTGGATGAGAAACATTGGGATTTATTCTAGCAATTTGGCACACAATGCGGTCTTACTGTTCAGTTGTGACTCTTTGACGTCTTTGTCTGGGCCCATCCTGTGTGTTCCTAATTCCAAGTACCTTGCATATGTATTCGGGTAAAGCCTACTATCAATGCTACGTCTCTTTTAGAGCAATAATTCGTTCGGTGAGAGCAATAATTCTTCCCCTCTATACAACTGTTAATCCAACATAAGGCATTTTTTAATTTTTTTGAATCGAATGAAAATTACCGGACCCAACCGTGATTTTACTGCTTAACACAAAATTCAAAAGAAAATAAAGCGCAGCAGTCGTTTATTCTTTATTATCATGCTTATTTAAAACAAAATGCCTTATCATAAAGTTGTATACCAATTTTTATCTTTGCAAGAAATTTAGTCAGAAATAAAGAGTGATTCCATATAAGTTTGGTTGTGTATACTTGCTGGTAGAAGTATTACTAACCGTTATCAAGTGTGAACTGATAAGGGTTATCAGTTCACATTAGATAACGGCCAGTCATACTTCTGACCGAAACGTTGTGTAAACAAAATCAATAAAAATTAATAATAAATTTGCTGTGAATTAAATCAAGGATAATAATACTCTCGCAACATGCGGCCTAGCATTGTCTTGCTGAAAGATGGGGTTTTGGATGGTGTGATGATATGGAATCACATGTTGCTGCTCCACCTTATGAATAAAGCTTACTGAATAAGTATAGTTAAAAAATATCATCTTTGGTTTGGTTGTACTTTGAATTTTAAACATTTAATTTGGGAAACCATGCGTGATGTCCTCGCAGGTTTCGGTGACTGCAAATTCAAGATTAGTGGCCTAATGAAAGTTACTGGTCTATAACATTTTCGTTGTAATACACACAACCAAACTTATATGGAATCAATACTTATTTCTGACTAAATTTCTTGCAAAGATAAAAATTGGTTTACAACTTCAAGCTAAGGCATTTTGTTTTAAATAAACATGATAATAAAGAACAAACGACTGCTGCGATTTATTTTCTTTTAATTTTGTGTTAAGCAGTAAAATCACGGTTGGGTCCGGTAATTTTCATTCGATTTAAAAAAATAAAAAAATGCCTTATGTTGGACTAACAGTTGTACAGAGGGGAAGAATTATTGCTCTCACCGAACAAGGAATGCTCCAGAGAGACGTAGCAGAGATAGTAGGCGTTACCCAGGGTGTTGTATCGAAAACATATGCAAGGTACTTGGAACTCACAAGGAACACACAAGGATAGGCCCAGACAAAGTCGTCAAAGAGTCACAACTGAACAACAAGACCGCCTTGTGTGCTAAATTGCTAGAATAAATCCCAATGTTTCTCATCCAGGGCTACAACGACAACTTCTGGCAGCTACAAGTGTGAACGTTTCAGTTAAAACTATAAGAAAAACGCTTCGTGCACGAAAGTTTTACAGTAGGAGAGAGTTACGGATCTCACAGTTATCTCTGCAAAATAAAATTGACCGGCTAAATTGATGCCTTCAACATCAAAACTGGACAACTGAGAATTGGCAAAATGTTCTTTTTTCGCATGAGACCAGAATTGGCCTAAGATCAGATAACCATCGAATTCGGGTTCTCAGAGCTCTAGGAAGACGAGCGAGACTTCAGGCTGCCACATATGTACCAAGATATAAAGGAGGAACTGTAGTGTTCGGAGGAGTAAGGAGGTATTATACTGGGAGCAAAAACTCCATTGTTACAACTTCAACAAATTTTAACGGGTCGGAAATATGTTGATTTGGTGCTAGAACCAATCGTTAGTCTTTGGAGAGCTGCAAGGGAGATAATTTTAACTTCATGCACGATAGTGCACCTCTCCATACCAGCAGAGTGACTAGAGAATGTCTTGAAACGGAAGGTGTCATAGTTTTGGACTGGCCTGTCTATTTACCAGATCTAAACACTATCGAACACTTGTGTGACTAGCTCAAAAGAAGGGTTAGAGTTCGTCGAAACAATCCAGGAAATCTCGCACAGCTTATTAATGCAGCATTAGCAGAATGGGAAAACATACCCCAAGATAACGTGGATAATTTAATAAGAAGCATGCCAGCGCGGATGAAAACTTGCATAAGGGCTGGAGGTGGCAACAAGGAATATTAAAATTATTAATTTTCTTTTTGTTTATGCTTTTTGGCCATTAAAAATTTAAATCTTAATTTCATTTCAGAAACTAGAGAAATACCATTATTTTGTTTATTTTGGGAACTGATGATTTTTTTATTGCTATATGGATTATTTTTCATTAAAAATCATTGGTAAGGACTGAGTTTTATTCATAAATACAACATTTTCATACATCTCAAAAATTATGAAAAATAATAGATGATTCCATATAAGTTTTATTGTGTGTATATTGAGAATCTACTTAGACTATACTAACAGCAAAAGTTAAGTAAATTGCCTATTTCGTTCAGTGTCGCTGCTGTTATTAGCTTGCTCCTAGTTATACATTTGTCCTTTAATTCAATTAAAACGATCTAGTTTGAAGCAAAAAATTAATTAGGTTTCATTGTACGAGGCGTTGCGCGTCGTCCTGGATAATATAGAACATTTTACAATCTCTAAATATCATATTGCATTTTAATAGGTTTAAAATAATTTTTTTTTATTGCCTATTGTCGATCCAATTTTGTGTCATTTTGAATTATATCTAATAGTGGTTTACCATACGAAGCCTATTGTCTATAGAGGGGTTAGAATATCATGTTTAAACATACTTTACCCGAAAAAGAAAATGCTTAACATTTTTAGAATAATTTGGTGTATAATATGTGCACTCGTTTCTGCCATAGAGGTCTCCCTACGATGTGTTACACACTAGATGTTCGAGAGATGAAAGAAAATATTTAATATTTATATACAGCTTGTCCTAATATTCCGTGGACATACATTTTTTTCAAGTGCTTATACAGAGACAAAAAATTTAGTAAATACTAGAGGGACCATTTTACGAAAGTAAAATCTCTAGCAAACAATTTGTAGATAAATTGTGTCCAATGAACTTATTTTGATTACAAAAATTCTATTTCCACGGAATATTGGGACACCCTGTAGTTATATTGAATGATGAGTTACTTACTGCTTCACTGTTAATACTAGGATCTTGTACCGGTTCTAAAGATAAGACTTTAAGAATCTGATGCTTTTCTGGATCCGAGACATAAAGATGTCCATCAGCTGGTGATATTGTAAGATAATATTGATATGCTACTTGAGTTGCTCTGTAACAAACACAAAGTTTTTTCACTGTTACTACACTATTCAAGTTAATATATTACCATATATTAACTTGAAGAGTGATTCATACTAAATTTAATTGTAGACGTAGAGGCAGAATATAACATTGCCAAATGCATATCATTTTGAAATGTCCAAATTTTCTAATACGTGTTTTTTTAGAAAAATATTCCAGTGATAACTCATATGGTGAATCTGCCTATACTTTTTTATCATTAAAATATATAGCACTTATAGTAATTTTATCGAATTGCTAAATATACTTGGAAGGAAATTATAATAAATCGAAAAAAAAAAGACTTTAAACCTCTATAGCTAGGAAACAAAGCAGAATCGGATTTATGTTGATATGAAAAATAAATCTTATTATGTGAGGAATCTCCCGGTGAAAGATGGCACATGTTTTTTAAACATCACGTATTTGCGTTATAACCGATATCGAATATAGGCTTGGTGCATTTTGCTCTATTTTTAAAATTTCGACAGCAGGGCTCGGTGCGGCAGAAATCAAAACTTTCCGGCTCTGTATTTCATGCAGTCCCGGTTGCATTTTTCCGTTTCCTAGTCGGCTAGCGCAATCGATTGCGTTAATCGCATAGGAAACGGACTCGAGACCTGCAACTCCGTTTACTAAGTGGTTAACGCAACCAATGCAAATGATATTATTATGAGTCATAATATTATTATTATGACAGGTGGACCTGCATAGGTGTTAAATTTAATAAATGTAAATTAATAATGAGGTATTTTTATTCTGGATTCCAAAAAAAGCAACATAATTGAGAGATAAATCTAATAGGTAACTTTTAACGTTTTATATGCTAATATTAGCAAGGCAGTTCGGCAATACAGCTTTAAGACGTGGTTGATATGTCAATCTGTTTTTCTTTTAATAAATAGTGCTGAGTCGGTGGTTGGTTCCTTGTGAAACATCGTTGAAATATAAGAATTTTAATAAAACACGGTTTTAGATATATAAAAAAAATTAAAAAGAGTAACTTAGTTAGGCATTTTTAAGAGTTCTTTAAAAACTAACCGTTTAACTACAATTTAAGGATATATAATATATTTGCTATGGTGGCGGATTTAAGGAGTTTACAATAGAGGTAATAAAAAATGTGTTTAGAAATCCTTGTCGTTTACATTATTGTAGTTTTTAGCTGATTTTAATATTTCTAACTGTTCTAGATAAGTTAAGCATCTGCCTTTTGTTTCTCTATCTAATAACTTAATTGAGTTTTCATTAACTGTGTGACTATTTAATATACAATGAGTTGCTAGACCGGAACTTTGCTGGAGATTATTAATATATTTTATATGTTCTTTAATACTTATATCTAAATGTCTACCTGTTTGACCTATACGTACATAACATTACAATTACCGCAATCCACCCTATATAAATCAATGAATGGAAATATTATGATTTTCGTTGCTGGAATAATATTTTTGTAACTTTATTTATTTGATTAATTGTCAAATTGAATTGTTTAAATCTTATTTCTTAGAGTTTTGTTATAGTGTAGTGGTTACAAGTAATATTGAGTATCCCATTTTCTGTGTCCTAAGTGACTATAAATAGAGCATACCTAGAAAGTTCATTGCAAGCGCTTCTTTGCATGGGTTGCGATGACCACTTAGTAAACGGAGTTGCAGGTATCAAGTCCGTTTCCTATGCGATTAACGCAATCGGTTGCGCTAGCCGTATAGGAAACGGAAAAATGCGTCCCGGTTGCCGTTCATGCTGATTGCATTGAAGTAATATTAAAATCGTGGTTTGTCATAATTATTTTTTGAGCTGCGACGAATGCAAAGCAAGTGTTTATATTAATATATATATATATATATATATATATATATATATATATATATATATATATATATATATATATATATATATATATATATATATATATATATATATATATATATATATATATATATATATATATATATATATATATATATATATATATATATATATATATATATTAGCAGTTATATAAACAAATTTCTTGCAGTAGGTATATAATAAAATTATATAAAAATTCTTGCCACTTAACTGCTAATATAGAAATTTAATTCTACGCTAGAAATTTAATTCTACGCTAGAAATTTAATTCTACGCAGGCCGCTATCTCCCGTTCGGGACTTAATATCTAACCGATACTTTCCGACAAGTCGGAATTAACTATCTCTGCCTGTGGTTTTCATTTTGTGGATCTCCCAAGCTCACTATATGTGTGTTAGATCATAAATGAGATTCACTTTTTAAAAAAATTTTATTTTCTTTAAACACATTTATAATATTTTATATTTTATTTTATTTATTAATTTAAATATATATATGTTAGATCACAAATGAGATTCACTTTTTAAAAAAAAATTATTTTCTTTAAACCCATTTATAATATTTTATATTTTATTTTATTTATTAATTTATTTTAATTTAATTATAAAAATTCAAACGGACATAGTCTCGTTTAGCAACTAAAACTACTCTTATTGATTTACAAAAATAATTGGATTTTATAATAAAAATAATGATTAGATTGACAATAATCGTGAGAACAATAGAATATTATTATGATACGTTCGCGATTTCGCAACGCGCGCCGGACGTGTCGCAATAGGATATGGCCTGCCGGGTGAACGTACTGGGTGGACCAATATAACAGCTCCCCCTTTAAGAGAAAAGTTGCTCTGTATAAATGCTCTGTATAACTCTTCTTCGGGATTCTGGATATCGTGTGGATGGATAGCGGTTCTTTGTCTAGGCAAGAAACTGATCAATCTTCTTCGGGTTGGTTTTGGATGTTCTAGCTTAGGTGGAGATGGTGGAACTTCATTGGACTGTCCCATGGTAAGGCAGAGAGGTCTTTTTCTACGACATTTGCAAAAGACATACAAAGTTATTAGTAAAATTATTATAATTATTGTTGATATGGTAAACCAGGATAGATGTTTCTCAATGAAGAGTTTGTTGATCATCTTGTCCAGTTCATCAGAATATTGATCTAGCTTGTGTTGGGCAATGTTCAGGTCATCTAAATCAATCTTGCTTAAGTTTAAAGGATTCAGATCAGGTAGATGAAACTTTTCTGGAATATGGTTACTGGTAAGAGATTTATAAGTCTTCAGGTCTTGAAGGGTAACGTATAACATTGAATCATCATCTCGTGCAATGTATGTTTTTATTGTTGGTATTATATGAAAAACCTTTGTTCGATTATCTAATATAGGAATTGGATATAACGATATACAATATAAGATTCTGGTTCAATTAAAGGTACTTTCAAAACAAATACTATTCTGAGGTCTGTCTGAAAAGCATCTAATTCAATTACGTCAATGTACTGAGAGACGTTTGAAGAATAAATTGGAAGAAGAATGTTCTAAGAAATAATTTTTTCTTAGTTATTGTGAGGCTTGTTGTAAAGCAGATATTAAATATTTAGATGTTACTATTGAGCTATGAAGTATATTTAATCGAGCAAAAGCAAGTGCGTTTAAAGCACCGTTTAGATAGTTTTCTACAAAAGCATAACTTTCCATAGAAATTCACATATTTCTAGTGTTTTGATTTGTGCTTGATAAAATGCGAGATCATCGGCAATGTTTGTTATTGATTGATTAATTTCAATTAAATCTCTATTAAAAGTTGTGACTGAAATTTAGTTCTTTAGTAATGTTTTATATGTCTTCCTTATAATTAAGTTTTACTTATAATTATTTTTTTTTATTAATTATTGCTAATTTCCTATAATTCATTATTATTATTTCCTATAATTAATTATTATTAATTTCCTATAATTATTATAAATTTCCTATAACTAAACTAAGCCTATTGTGAACGGCCTAAGAAGCTGTAAGAAATAATTCTTATTCAAAATACGGTTTTAGTCTGTCGAAATTTATTTTTGAATTTTGTTTAGTACGTGGGTTTAAAACTATAGCAGAGTTGTCAAAAACTTCGGTTATTTCAAAGGGACCATAGATTCTTTTACATAAACTTTGTCACCAATTTTATATTCAGGTTTTTCAGCTGATACTTTTAGATCGAATCGAACTTTAGACTTTTCCTTTTGTCTTTGAGTTTTTTCGCGTGCAATCTTATAATAATGTTCCATACGATTATTAAGGTCTCTTATGTACTTAGATATTAATTTTTCTTGGTTATAGAGAGTTTCTGGTGCTCTACTTCCTGTATGACCAAAAATAAGCTCATATGGAGTGAAACCGTGTGTTTTATTTCTAGTATTATTGTAACATATCACGGCATAAGGAAGGACTTTGAAAGGATGTTCATTGGGATTTTCTGCAGAGTTTGCACGTATCATTTCAGCTAAGGTCGCTATCGTTCACTATCGTTCTATAGATCCGTTGGACTGAGGGTGATTGACACTCGAAAAGGTTAATTTTATGTCGTACAATTCGCATAAATCCTTCATCAGAGTATTATCGAATTCACGGCCATAGTCGCAATGTATTCTGAGAGATGTTCCGTAATGCTGAAAAAATAATAAAAGTGTATTTACAACTGTTTCTGCCTTTTTGTCGCTTAAGGGATACGCTTGCGTAAATTTTGTTAATTCGTCTCTGATAGTAAAAGCGTAGTTTCTCGTAGGGTATTCAAATATGTCGATGTTAATTCTTTCGAATGGAGTTTTCGGTGTTTCTGTCACGACCAGTGGCGTACTAAGATTTTTCCTACATATTTTTACCTTTTGACATATCTCACAGCTTTTAATATATTTTTCTACATCTTTCGGTAAATTTGGCCAATTATATTTTGCTTTAAGTCGTCTGACTGTTTCATTTATGCCTCGGTGTAAATTGTTTTTTCCTGTGTGATACTGTTCCAATGTAATAGGTATCTCGTCTTCGCTTGGTGTCTTGACAGTGTTTTGGCATATTCTTAATTTTATGTCTTTGTCAGCAAAAATATAAGATAGTGTTTCTAAGATAGGCAAATCCAGATTAT